CTCTAAAGATTTGAAATTTAAATGAGTGAATTTAGTGAGAGGACCTAGAGCACAGGCCAAACTTACTTTTCTATCTCAAGAGCAGCAGCCTTCCGTTTGTCATAGATTTTATCATTGAGCGCTCTAACACAGGCGGAACTAAGAGGGGCATATTCTTTCTCTGACATTCTGCATAAATAATGAATAACACACTTTCAATAATTGTCTGTTTGAGTTTGAGTGAGGTTATGCAAACACTTGTTTTTATCACTTGACACACGCTGCTGCCAACCATTCTGTACGAAATTTCCTACTGGGTAACAACAGTCCTCCTTCCAAATCAAAATAGAAATCTATGCCTGAGGGAAGAAAGATCGAATACAACGGGTCCTATTTTAAAAATTTCCGTTAGCTTATTTTCACCAATGTTTCGATCAAATCACTGTCAATTGCAACCGTGGGCATTTTGGTAGAGGGAAGTTTGACGAGGTCCACTGCCAGCTGGATGTTCACCACGGCCTGCTGAAGCGCTCGTCCGCATCGATGCGCATGCGCAGGAGTAGGGTACGGCCCACAACAACAACAAGGACGAGGAGAGAAAGAGGAAAGAGAAGAGACGACAGTAGCAGCTCATGGCCGCCCTTGCGCGTATGTTGCCGCCGCGCTCCTTGGCGTTGCTGGTGAATCGTTTGTGAAGTGAAGCGTTGTGCGCGGCGCGAGTGCGTGTGTTTGTGTGTGTGCGCGCGTGAAAAGTGCCAAGTCCAGTCGCGAACCGGGCCATGCATCGCGTAGCAGTGGAGTGCTTGAGGTGAAGGTGCGAGTGAGTTTGTGTTTGTGTGGAAGAAGATCCTTGTCAGCCAGCGTCATGGAAGTGAGCTTGGAGCGCGAGTGCTCGGCACTCGGTGGACTTTTTCACCAAATCATCTTGGACATGAAGGTACGTGGGGAGCTACCCTTCAACCTCCTCCGGAGTGCGGCTTGCTTTGCTCTGGACTGAGGGGGTCTCGTTGTCGTCGGGGTATTGATCACCGCGCAGCCGGTCTGGTCGAAGCGTTCTGCTATAATGCAGGCGAGCGAGCCAAGCGCTGGGCTGTTTATGCATCGTGACTTGACAGGAGGCTTCCTGTGGTGTCGCTGACTTTGCCCTGAATTGATCTTTTGCACTCTGTACAAACCAAGGCTGTCTGCTGCCCGTGAACCGAACAGTGGACCCTTAATTGGTTATTCGCCCTGCCTTTTGGCCCCAGCTTTCTATTTGTTGGTGTACTAATAAATTAATGTCAATGTTAAATTTTGAAGGTTTTCTGGAAATGTTTCCTCTTTTGGTATATGTTAGGTAGATTTGGATTCAATTGCATGCAATTCATCCTCCTTTTTGTTGGTTGTTATGAACAAAAAAATATCTGGCTCATATCAACATTTCCCCTCTAAGTTTTAGTTAAATGCTTCATTGAAATTCGCCCCTTTGTAGTTAAATTTGTTGAACATGTTAAGTGCTTAAGGTGTCAGTATTTGGCGAGTCTGTAATGTGACCTGATATTTGCCTTGAAAGAGGTCGTCATAAAGCACCCCACGCGTCTCCACGTCGAGCGGCCCTGTGCGAAAATTGCTGTCAAAATGACGCCAAAATGGTGTCGAAAGGGCAAAATTGGCGTCGAAACTACATCGTTCTGGCATGGTCCTGACGTCTTCCGGGGGGAAAGAAGGGGGGGGGGGACGCCCCTGTCGCGTGACGAGCCGGTGTGGTACACATCTGTCATGTGACAGACGTGAGATACCCGCGTATGTACCCGCCGGTACCCGTCTCCGCCCCGCGCGGGCCAGGGGACGGAAACGACTTACATCCTACATCTGTCTCTCTTCTGTTTCCAGAATGGAACTCCTCTGTGGGAGGACTTCGTCGCCAAGGCAACCAAGCTGCACACTTGTCTCAGGTGAGTGCGACTGACATCGGTACCTCATCTCATCTCGCGGTTGGAGTTTTTACTATATGGACTACCTTATGGTGGGATGCTGGGAGGGTGCTGCTGGGCTGGGCTAAGGCTCTAGAGGGTCGTCGCTCGGATCCTTGCTCTGAGAGGTTTCTTCCCTGGATCTCGTTGGTGGCACGGTGTGGCCTCGCCTCCGCGGGGACCGAGATCTGGTCCATATCCCAGGCAAATACGAGTCCCGAGGTGGTGGGGTCAGGGTAAAGGGGTCCGCTGGGCCAGGGAAGCGCGTGTCCGAAAGATGAAAACTTACTGCCCAAGTTTGCCGAGAGCTTTATTGTGGACTCGTGTTGGTCGCGGCCCAGAGCGCGACACCCGGGTGTATATATGTGTCGCCTCGGCCGTCCTTGCCTCTCTGCGCGCGGGGGAGGGTGGGAGGGGGTGGAAGCTGGAAGCCCTTGTGTGTGGACGCACGGGGAGTAGGGTTACACCGTTACACGCAACTGGCCGCGAGGCGCCCGACGCCCCATGACGTGGTGGGCCCGCGGCTCTTGGTGCCCCGCCGTGCCCCGCTGACCTACCTCACACCCTGCGGGGCGTGGCGCGGCGTGGCGGTACACTTGTACCTTGCGTGCCCTCGGCACGCCCTTCCCACGGGGCTTGCCCTCCGCGGGCCGCGGGAGCGACAAGAAGACCAACGCACTCGAAGCGTCGTCATCGTCATATTACGTCGTCGTCGTCGGAAAAGTCAGGCGGGCTTCGTCGTCCCGGTGCACGCATCAAGGCGTCTTCGGTCTCCTCCACCCACGCTCCCTAATCGCCCACTCTGTGTTACAGGGCCACGCTGCAGGCCATCGCCGCCTACCTGGACGCCTTCCAAAAGATCGCCGATGCTGCAACCAACGCCAGAGGTAAGCGGAACACGGCGAACACGCTGTCATGATGTCAGCGATCTTGATGTCGGTCGGGACGGGATCGGGACTGCGGTAGTAGGGCCACCCCTGCCCCGTTGTTATCTCCCTCCCCTTCCCCCCAACCCTCGTATTTTGTCGCGTTTATCATGTGCGAAGGAACGTATAGTCCTTTTTTTCGCGTCTTTCTTGCATTCTCTTCCGTTTGGAGGAATTCGCACAATCGCGGAACGCGCGGCCCGCCGGGGCACTGCCGCGCCACCCTCCTTAGTATTTTCGGCGCGATGATGATTGCCCCCTCCTCCTGCTCCCCCTGCTCTCCCCATCGGGACTGCTCGCTTTCCTGTGCGATGCGTGCTCATTGTTCCGGGGCCCTCCACCGCCACGCCACGCCACCCCGCCCGCTGTGCGCCGCGCCACCGCCAGCCCGTGCCGCATCTGTCCGGCACATTTACCTCACAGCGCGGAAGAGCGGAGCAGAACCGAGCCATGTGTGGAGAGGCGGCGGCCGGGCTACACAGGCAGCTGGGCAGGGGCGGAGCCAGGGCCGGGGGAGCCGGGGGAGGGAGGCCGCTGGTGCCCGCCAAGGTCTCCGTCGTGGACGAGGGGCGGGTGCTCGTCGTGGACACACCGCGCCGCCGCCGCGCTCCATTGCATCTCCACAGACCATGACTTTTTGTGCGACGGTGGACTGGTCGATCGCCGAGGTGGCGTCAACTCGGTGCCCGTCGCGTCGATGCATTGGGTCCCACTAAGGGCCCCCGGTGCCCCCGCACACTCCTCTCCCGCCCCTGCCGCTCCCCTCCTATAAGCGCCACTCGCCTCACGTCCCGTCCCACGCAGGCCGGTAGCCAGGGGGATCAGGATGACACGCCGTGGGTGTGCCTGCTCCTCGAGCTGCCCGTGGGGATCGGCGCGCCCCTTGGGCCTGCTCCAGGCTCCATAGCCCCTCTGCTGCTCCTGCTCCCAAACGTCCCGCGCAAGCAGCGCAAGCCAAATGCCGCTATAAAATCCCACAGAATGATGCGCCTTCCTCTTCTTTCCCTCGCTGGCTTTCTTTTTTTGCGGAGAGCGCCGCGCGTCGTTCTTTGTGAGGGAGATCGACCAGAGAGCGAGAGAGGAGGGTGCGTGGGGTACTTACGCCCCCTGTGTGCTGGGTGGTGGTGGTGGGTGGGGCGAGCGAGTGAGCGAGTGAAGTGAAGTGAAGTGCGCTGACCGTTGTAGACTGTCCCCCCGGCTGGCTCTCCTCCCTCTGCCCGCCATGGACTTGCTCTCCACGCTCTGCCCGCCATGGACTTGCTCTCCGCCGCAATTAGTCCTCCATACACCCGGCCCACACCCCAACTACCATCGCCGCCACAAAGTCCCTCTTCTCTCTCTCCCCACTCTCCCTCTCTCTCTCTCCCTCTCTCTCCCTGCCTCTCGCTCGTGCAGAAGCCAGCCCAGAGTTCTAGGCCGGGCCGTCGGGGCCCATTGTGCTGGATGCACGCTGTTTGTCGCGTGCTCGAGCCCTCAAGAGGGCTGAGCCGGGCGGGGCGGGGCGGGGCGGGGCGGAGCGGGGCCGCTCTGGAAGGATTGAAACTCCGCTCCCTCCTGCTCTCCACCCTCCCTACCCTCCCTCCCCTCTCCAGCCCGCCCGAGTCCTTATAAGCGCCGACTCCAGTGGCTCTGATCCCGTCACGGGGAATGCCTCATTGTTGCCCCGTGTTTGGACCGGCCCGCAGTCCTGCCCTGCCCGGTCGTGTGTCGCTGGCGTGGGTGTTGTGTTACTTATCGGCTCCCCGTTAGAGGAGGCGTCGGCATCGGCCTTGGTGTTGCAGCAGCAGGGAGAGGGGGACGCGAAGGGAGAGAGAGAGGGCGAGAGAGTTTAGGAGGGGAACCGCCCCGTTCGAGGCAAGGCGACGTTGTGCGTGCGAATGAATGGGGGAGGAGTCTGCCGAGGCGAGGTTCTGGCGAGGCCTATCTCTGCCGCTGGGAGGGTCGGGGACATGGACGGGCCCGGGCGGCGGGGCGGGGCGCAGCGCGGGTTGGATGGTCGGAGGCGGATATCCGGCTGCAGCGTGTAGCGTAGTGTAGCGGCGGCGGCCCCAGTCAGCGGCGCAGCCAAGCAGCAGAGAGACGCGCTGGGCTGAGCTGCGCGCCGCGCCGCGGCTTGCAGGCCCTGCCCGCCCACAGCCCTCC